TTCCCGCGGATAGGACAGGAAAGATGCGTCCTGCGGGCGCTGTGATTCCCCTGGGGAGCGGATATGGGAATCAGTCCATCACCATAGGGCTCTATTGTAGGGCGTGGGGTGCCTGGTCATGCTCACAAGGTCCGTACGGCGCTAGACCAAGCTATGGGGGCTGGGTGCAGATTGCTTTGCTAGTGCCAAGCGAGGCAGAAACATTTGAAGCCCAGAAACGTGGCCTACGAAGTGTTGGTTCCTTCCCCACCCCACTCCTTAGGGCCAGCTCCGTCACTGGGGGGCAGACAGAATTAATCAGAAGTCAAACTGGTGCAAAGAAACCGAGAACTGGTGCAAAGAAACAGAGATGGTTTCCAGGTAAGTGGGTGTCATGAGAAATGCGTCGTCTTTCAGTGGCGGTCCCCAAAACACATTGGCTTCCATCAGGTTTAATTAGACGCCGTCTATTATCGAATCGCAGGAAGGGCCTGCCCAAGGGAAAGTGGAATGGAATTTGGTTGCTGGGTTGCAGGAGCAGAATGTCACCAACCGTGACCCTTTGCAGGCTGCAGATAAAAGCAGCGCCTATTGGGCGTAGGTTTAGCTGGCAGTCTGGAAAGAACCGGGCTCCGAACTGGTGAGAAATAGCCCATGTGCTCATGAAACCATGTTGGCTTGTCTGGAGTTCTACCCTGCACTCGCTCACAGAGAAACTAACCCGAACGCGCTCTGCTAGTGATAGGACCTGGGGAGCTGCTACTGCAGAGACAGCAGGGGGAGCCCACAGCACTAACACGCCTGCTCTGGGATGGATTCTGAGTGTGCACATGGAAAAATCAACTGGCATTAGTTGGCACCCGCAGTACAGACCGTACAGACTTCTACAGGGCATGTAGCTCCGTGGTAAAGCATTTGACTATCTCCCAAGAGGTCCCTGATTCAAATCCAGGAGCCACCTTTGCAGGTGGTCCCTTCTGGGCTTGAAATGAATCAGCTGGGGTGAGTGAAGTCCCCTGTCACCCGTAAGGGGACTCCCTCCCGATCAGAGGTGAGGCACATGGTGTCATGGCACCTGTGCCGCAAACAGAGGCCTTTGCCAGCCTGAAGGGCCCAAGACTGGGCCGGGGGAGTCAACTGTCGAGTTCCTTTTGATTTCAGTGGGGCAGAGAGTAAGGTTAGGGGGCTGGCTGGACACTGAGGAGACCCCCCACACACCTCTGCCGCAGACTTCCTGTGTGCCCGTGAGCAGTCACTTAGAATACAATTTTCAAAAGTTATGTCGGCACTGAGGAAGCACCTAACTCTCACTGGCACCTAGGCTCCTACCCCTCTTGATCAGTTTTGAAAATGAGACTTAGGCACTTTTGAATGTTGTACCCTGGCTTCGTGCCTCAGTTTCCCCTCTGTAGAATGGGGCTGATAACCCTGCCCTGCCTCACAGGGGTGCTGTGAGGATAAATATGTTAAAGACTGTGAGGTGCTCTGATACCTTGGTGACGGGGCCAGAGAAGTACAGATGACTGTTAGGATCAGGATTCACATTCACACAAACAATTGCAAAGTTGAATGAATAAACACTTCCTCAAGCTGGGGGGGAGGGATAGCTCAGTGGTTTGAGCATTAGCTTGCTAAACCCAGGGTTGTGAGTTCAATCCTTGAGGGGGCCACTTGGGGATCTGGGGCAAAATCAGTACTCGGTCCTGCTAGTGAAGGCAGGGGGCTGGACTCAATGACCTTTCAAGGTCCCTTCCAGTTCTAGGAGATGGGATATCTCCATTAATTATTATTATAAGCCTCTTGTTTTTCAGGGCTGTGTGAATGGCCCTGAGCAGTAATGAGATGGATTCACACATGGACTCTGGAATCTAAATGGCTCAGGACTGATGCTTATTTATGGTTTATTTATGGGCCAGATCTTGCCCGAGCGATCCTTTCGTGGTCTTGAAATAACACAAGATCTGGGCTTTTCACTATTTCCACCATCTTGGGATTGAGAAGACCAGATGTCACAATATTAGCTCCCTCCTGTTTACAGATCCCATGGTTAAAAATAAAATAAAAGCCCTATGCAAAACCAGGTAGACAAGGACGCCACAGTGCCAGTGACTGGATTCTTACCTTGGCAGTAGGAGAGAGGGAGAAATTGCCATGACTGCAAAGTGGGCATGGATAATACCCAGGAGGCCCTGAGAGAGCATTGCTATTTGGGAGAAGTGATGCCTAGACCTCCTTCTGTCCTGCTGAATGAGTTGACCCTTGCACATGACAGAGTTATTTGAATGTCTGATTACTGGGCGTTTCCCCCTCTCCTAGAGAAAGCCAAGGATATTTATTGCAATAAAAGAAACTTCAAATCCTATGTCAATGCTCCCCGGTGAATGCCAATTTGGCATGGACTGGACAGCAGCCCTGGGAATTCAGTGGGACAGAACCCGCTTCGGATCCTGTGAATTTCATTGTGCATGTACCTCAACGAGCAATGCCTGGTTTAAAACAACCTCTGTACGCCTGGGCATCTCTGCACACGCTGAGGCCCTGCGACGGAGCCCAAACA